TCACTATAATATTTTTTTGGGAGATGAAATGAGTGCTTGTTTGGGCTTTATTTCAGTTTTAAATTACTTGGCATTAGGTTTGTAATTTGATGCTTTATCTGTGGATTTTCCCTTTAACTGGCTGCCTGCCACAGAGAATGACGGGAAATATACTTTTGTTGCGCACGCCTGTCGCCTCATAAACGGGTTAAAGGAGCAGTCTGGAAAGCTTTATAGCTCTTCTTTATCAACAGTACACAACATGCATACAAACGAAATGTACCGCCACAATGAGCATTTGATTATGACCACTTGAGACCTAACTTAGAAAGGCAGGACTCAAAGTTTTGAAAAACATGTAACTCTTGACTCTGCTGGGGTCAACCGGTGAGCATGTAAATTAGAAAGTTTCCCATGGGATATTTGCCTGTCGATCTGGACTTTAAATGAAATGACAGACTGCTCATTCTGATTAAGCTGAGCTTGTTCTTTTAATGTGTTCTTAAGCTTTTACTGGTGTTTGTGCACGGGCTCAGATGTTGACACTCAGAGCAAAGAGCTTCCCGCTCAGGAGTGTGCTTTTAAGGCAGGCCTTTTTATGGCATCCAAGAGGCATCTGCTAATCGTCTCCATTTGTGATTATAGCAGCAGTAGGGAGGAAGTGCAGAGTTGAAACTCTGACCTCCCCGGCCTTGACCCCTGGTTTTGTTGTCTCAGTGGATGCCACAGAGGAGTCAAAGGAGCTTATGAGATTGCAAGTAGGGGACAGTAACCACAGTGTTGTTTGTGGTTTATACAACAGCCATGAGATTATACATGGCTTATGCTCCTCTTTCAGATGAATGTTTAAAATGGAACTTAATAGTTCCCACAAAAGAAAGAAAGTCGTAAGGGTTTGGAAAGGCCTGTAAATATTGACAGATTTTCATCTTGCATGAACTATTCATTAAAGATGTTATTTGGGTTGGTGACGTGAAAAGAGAGAATATGATGAAAATGGAATTTGCTACAGCCCTCTCTGGTATTAAAGGAAATGAGCCAAATAGCGGTTGCCTGCCCTGCCACAGGAAGATAAATACTGCCTCGTGATTGGCTAATTAGCACCTGATGGAGAACAGCAGGGTCAGAGATCTCCAAACAGGTAATGACTAATGACCACTCTGATAAAAGGTCTGTCAGTGACCCAAAAAGACTAAAGATGAAAAAACGTGTTAGAAGGTAATAAGTGTGAACTAGAGTTTCCTTAGATTTTTAGCTCAGTTTTTAAAGAGCATAAAGTAAAATAAAAAACTGTGTTGAGGAAATGTTGAAACTGTAGTTTTTCAAATTAAAATACAGTCTACTGGTAAGATCATAAATAATGATGTTAATAATCATATAATTATTATGATTATTATTATAATTATGATCTGTTGATCATTTTTTAACCAGTTCGTTTTGAACTGTCTGAAAGAACACTAAAATCAACTTCCCAGTGCTTATCATAAGGCTTTGAGATGACAATTTATGAGAGCACATTTCCTTATTGCCTCACTCAGCTTACTTGGCAGTAAAGCTGCGTTTGCATTACAATGCCACAAAAGAAAAAAGAAAAAAACAGCATTTGGCCACGCTACAGCACTACTCATTGGAAAAAAAACTGCTTATTGCTGGAAAAATGACTTTATCAAAACAATGGAGCTACCATCATGTAGTCAGCATTGCTACATTATATCAAAATACCCAAAAGGAAGACATGGATATGGCTATCAAACAAGTGATGTGACTAAACGATACACCTCAACTAATTCCTCTCATTCTTGCAAAGCAAACCAGCCCCATAATTATTTCCTTCATGGACAGAGACCACCTAGAGTGTCTCGCCATCAACAGCCCAAACCACATCATATCCTGACTGAGACCATTGGAGAGACTGGCAGGTACTGATAAGACCAGTCTAACTCTCACTACCACACTGGTGTCAGTGAGCAGAGCGCTCATCTACATGCCAAACAAAACACAGGACGAGGCTGGGGGGAGGGACACGGTGACCATGATACTGCACACAAAGTATGCCTTGTGTTTCTAAGAACTCAGGACGCACAATGAGCCATTTAGAGGAGTTTCTTCTATACTTCATTCTCATAAAATCAAGGGTGCATTGAGGCAGCAAAGTGGGTGTTCGTGAGCACCTCTGAAACCTAAAATGTCAAATTAGACACTATACTGTCTTGTGGACTTCACGTACAGCGACCATAGCAAAGCCGCAAGTTCAGATCAGGTGCACCATTTGATACAGGCCAATATTTACTCGAAACCTTGTCTAATTGCTCATTTTTGGAACTGTTATCAGCCAATGCAGATAATAAGTCAAATAATGGATAATCTGTCAGGCA